TTTCCAAGTTCCTTTACATTTTGTATACTTAGAAGTTGAATAAATTTCCAAACCCTAATTTTTCTTATATAAATAAAACTTTTTGAAATACTTCAATCTTAAATCGTGATAAAAATAAATTGTAGAGTAAAAAGAAATTCAAAGCTTAATTTTCCCAACACCTACCAGTTTCAACATTCAGATTTGCAAAAAGCCTAATTCCAACGACTTCTTTTTATATGCCAAAAAATCTATGGATTACGCAAATATAGTCATAATTTATCAAGCAAAGCAGCATTTTTGGCTAATGCACATTTGAATTGCAAGTCTATAATTGCACTCATTTCTTTTCCTTGTTGAATTTCCCCCTTTCTGAATTATGTTAGTTTAACATCAGATCACCGTCGGGTCGTTCAATTCTAGAGCGCTGTGTCCATAAATACGGGGTTTTATGTTGTCTGTTTGTTGTGTCAAATAGGAGTCTAAAAGAAATATTTTTATCGCTTAAAAGACTAAAAATGTTTAATTAAGTGATAAAGCATTCCATAGTCTCTTTCGATGAGAGTTTTTTTTTAATTTTGAATTTAAAAATAATTTTATCTTATTCTACAGAAAATACCAGGAAAGGGAAACAATATTGATCGCCCTACGTTCAAAGGATATAAAGTTCGATGTTGAAGTTCATAGATACAAAAAATTGTTGTACATGTACTAGTATTTACGAATTAGAACTTGGTTTAAAGTGAAAGCATTTACCAAAGTCAAACATACGGAGGGCAAAAATCAGATTGTGTCAAATTCACACAATTATGCACTAATTTCATACTCATTGTATGTATTTTAAAAATCTTGTCGAATGACGTGTTTTTACTGCAAAAGAAACGGTACTTTTCTAAATAAAACAAGAATTTTATTCCTGCTTCTTATGGTCCATGCGTATGTTGCAAACCAAGCAAAACTGGTTGTGGCCGACGAACCATTAATATGCCGATTAAAATTTTAATGTTTTACATTTTGCGTCAGATGTGAGACTATATCTTATCTATAACCATTGCTTCGTTCAAATTCTCGAACGCATAATTATAAAAATATGAATGAACAAAGCCTTCTGCATAAGATATTTAATCGGTATTCTTTTCTTTTCATTATTTAAGAAAAGATTATATATAAAACAGAAATGACATTTACCTATATATCAAGACTGCTACCAGTACACCAACAAAAGGTCCTACCCAGTAGACGTAGTGATACTCCCAAACCCCTTCAATATGTTCATACTTTAAGGTGGAAACAGCCGGACCCAAACTTCTTGCTGGATTCATAGATCCACCGGTCACAGATCCTCTGATATGAAATTATGAAACAAATAGGAAATTAAGAAGGATATGGAGATAACGAACAGTACTCAATATCAAAGTTCATAAAACAATACAAAATTAAAGCAATACAAAATAGCAGCAAAGCAAACACGGACCTCCGAAACATCAGAGGTGGGATCAGGTACCATAGAACTTTATTTACTACATTTCGTCATGCTAATTAACTCCCATATTTCCTTTCTTATTTGCAGACATATTATATACAAGCTGACAAAAACAGGTCTCCAGCAATAACCATTATAAATCTTTACTTTAGTACATATCAAGATAGGTCGCTCTCGTGGTGCAGTGGTTAAAACATTTGCTGTATAGCCGCGGATAAAGGAGTTAACTTGATCCCTACGTCATGAGTTCGAACCTCAGTCAAGTCTTTCAGATGAGACCGTTTTAACTGGGGTCTCGTGTCACCGTAGGCGCTGTCACGAAAAAAAATCCTTTCTTCTCAAAAACCTTGAGGTTCGAATATAATTCTAAAAACTGCAGACCTCCATCGACATGCCCTGACGCCTCAAAATGAGTTTTAAAAAATCATGAGAGGGACGTTAAAGAAACATACAAACAAAAAAAAAACTGACGCCTCAAAAGGAGTTTTAAAAAATCTTGAGAGGGACGTTAAAGAAACATACAAACAAAACATATAAAATAGCACTTACCCTGCCATAACTCCCACCGTGACGGCAAAACCAATCGCCAGAGGTGCCAGCTTGTGTTTCTTTTCGTCCATCGTTGTTATTAATACGGTCAGAATAAGCATGAAGGTCAGGATGGCCTCCGTCAGAACACCCCAGCCGGGCCTCTTGCTAAGTAGTGTAGCTCCTCCGTGAAGTAATTCGTAGTCTTGTACTGATAATATACCCTTATTAAAATGTAAGGAAATTTTGCTATGTAATATATTTTTATGAAAAAAAACCCCCAAACAACACAAGGGATTGTAATATGAAACACGAAGCAAAAACGTAACAAAGTTGGGTTTTTTAAAATTTATTTATTTTCTCATTTTTTTGACAAATGCGTTATACCTGACGTCACATGTCATTCATCACATGTGATTCAAAAATAATCACCAAAGTTAATTGTTTTGAAATTAGGTCAAACATGTATGTCAAGGGGGAAAGAACTCATAACATATTAGGAAACATCTTGTAAAATATGAAAGTTTTATCTTATCTCCACAATTGCATACAGTTTTAAGAAAATATAACATGTTGAAAAGTAAGTATACAGTAACTTGTTGGTCAAGGTCACAAAATCATAGTTCATTTAATTAGTTCTTGTCCCAGGTACTATACTTTTTTTATATGAAAGCCTTTTCTTTTCGTACAACCAATCAAAATAAATATTAAATTTTTAAAAAGCAATTCAAACTTAAAGGTGATGGTTTAAAAATCATAGCATATTTTGAAAGTTTTGTAATTTACGTCGAACAGGAAGGCCAAGGGGTCAAAAATGACAGCAAGTCAAAGGTCAAGAATAAAAAATCATAGTGAATTTAGAAATTTCTTGTCACAGGTAATATATGCACATGTATAATATGAAAGCTCAAACTTTTTTCTTTCAAAAGTTATAGTCAATTTAAAGTAATGTTAAAATTTTTGAAATGTAGGTCAACCTTCAAGGTCATAGGTTAAAAATCATAGTACATTTGAAAAAGTCTTGTCACAGGTAATGCATATGTTTATTATCAATGTCATTGATATCTTTTCTCATTCAAATTTTTTTACCAAGACAAAGTTTTTGTAACAAACTGAGAGACGTGCGAACGGACAGAAGAACAGGATTTATCGATTGATGGTTTACGTACACAAAATAACAGTTTAATATACATGTACGTATATCGTAGAAGACTAGCAACATTATACATCAACAAAATTATCAAGCTCATCCTTCCAACTATTTCAAAGGCCATATCTAGTCAATATAACGAAGCATAGATGCAATTCCAAGGTTAAAAAAATCATTCTTTGATCGATTTAAAGAAGATTTATTGTATACTGTTTAACGTCCCTCTGCAGAATATTTCACTGATATGGAGACGTCACCATTGCCGGTGAAGGGCTGCAAATTTAGGCCTTTGCTCGGCACTTATGGCCTTTGAGCAGGGAGGGGTCTTTATCGTGGAACACCTGCTGTGACACGGGACCTCGGTTTATACGGTCTCATCCGAAGGACCGCCCCATTTAGTCGCCTTTTACGACAAGCAAGGGGGTACTGAGGACCTATTCTAACGAAGAAAAAATTGATATAAACTGAGTTAAAATTTTGAAGTATACATACAAGAACCAGAGCTGCCCCAATCAGGCCTCCAACCAACTGAGCGATGATATAACATACTGCAGAAAGGAGGGACACACCCCCACACAGAGCCACAGCAGAAGTAATGGCAGGGTTAAAATGCCCGCCACTACAAAACGTACATGCAAGAAAGTTTTATAAATTCCAGTTTAAGTCCTTTTTACATTGGAAAAATACAAAATATGGAACTGCACTTGGTCTCAAGTACGACGGCGTATTCGTGCCATATTGGCAATGTAAAAAAATTATAAATCGTTTGTACGATTTAGGAAATCGTCTGTGCAATTTAGGAAATCGTCTGTACGATTTAGGAAATCGTTTGTACGATTTAGGAAATTGTTTGTACAATTTTTTAAATCGTTTGAACGATTTAGGAAACCGTTTGTACGATTTGTTAAATCGTTTGTACAATTTGTTAAATTGTTTGTACGATTTTTAAAATTGTTTGTACGATTTTTTTCTTTTCTGATCAAAATTTGTCTGTTGTCTGTCGTCATCGTCGTTGTTGTCGTTGGCGTCGTTGTTGTAAACTTTTCACATTTTCACCTTCTAACTTTCATCGCTGAACTAATTTCAATCATACTTGCTACAGAGCTTCCCTGGGTAAAGGGGATTCAAGTTTGTTCAAATGAAGGGTCAAGCCTTGTTCCATGGGGAGATAATTATGAATTAGAGAAAAATTAATGGCGTTTTTTAAAAATCTTCTTCTCAAGAACCACTGGGCCAGGAAAGATGAAACTCACGTGGAATCATCCGCAGGTAGTGTAGATTTATGTTTGTTCAAATCGTGACCCCCAGGGCAAGGGTGGGGCCACAATGGCCAATCCAATTTTAACATAGGAATATCTATAGGAAAAATCTTTCAAAATCTTCTTCTCAAGATCCATAGGGACAGGAAAGATGAAACTCATGTTGAATCATCCCCAGATCGTGTACATTCAAGTTTGTCCAAATCAAGACCCCGGGGGAAGGGTGGGGCTGCAATGGCCGATCAAAGTTTTACACAGGAAATACATCTTTTTTAAAGAATAGCAAAGCCATGATTAGTTATATTTATATGGATGCATTATAACATTGCTACAATATTCATACAGCTTAGTTAACAAGACACAATTTAATATGATGTTTCTGTACCTGTTTTACTCTAGCCTGCAGCGAAGAGAATTCTCTGCTTTACCAGTTTTCTTATAGATGCAATAAGCTTCTGTTCCGAATCAGAGGAAAAATCGTCCAAACGATTTTCTAAATCGTTGCAACGATTTTTAAATTGTACTTTAAACGATTTCCTAAAATTGTTTGAAGGATTTATAAAATCGTTTGAACGATTTATAAAATTGTTTGAACGATTAATAAAATTGTTTGAACGATTAATAAAATCGTTCAAACAATTTTATAAATCGTTCAAAATAAAATTGTTTGAACGATTTATAAAATGGTTCAAACAATTGCATAAATCGTTCAAACGATTTAGGAAATCGAACAAACGATTAAAAAAATTCTACATTGCCAATATGGCACGGATACGCCGTCGTACTGTGTCAAGCCAAGTATAAATCATTTTTTATTTGAATTTTATCATATTTTTTTTATCATTCATGAACAACTTAAAAGGTAACATAGAACAAAAATCAATAAATTTCATAGAGATTTGCACTTTGTAAGACTTCTGATTGTTTTATTTTTAAAGATTTTTAACTGTACACAATAATCTGATAATATGTCGGATATTCAAACCTACCTGAATTTTCCTAGCCCTACAATGAGGAAAACATAAGCAAACCCCTGAAGGAGACTCGATGCGATGCTGTAATCTGCAGGAATTAAACACACAGAAAACACGAACAGTGTGGTTCCTATGAACTCGGCCAGGACAGGACGAACGACTTTGTTAAAGAAGGAAGAAGCAGGCGTCGTCTCCTGTCTATGAGTTAGACTTGTGTCCCCCTCAGCCATTTTTTACAGAGATAAAATATTTAAATTGCGCCTTACGAAATTACAAGTGTATTTGTTTTTGTGCAAGGGTTGTTCTGAGCAATATATTGCAGTGTGATAACCTAAAAAAACAACTTTGATTTGAGGAATGCAGAATATTACGGAAGCAAGATAGGATCATTTTTACCAAGATTTAAAAAAATAAAACATTTTAACGAGATATGTATATCCACTTAATTTCTTAAGAAAATCGTCGCCCGAGTGGCGCAGTGGTTATTCTAGAGCGTCTGCTTTAGAGTCGCGAAATAAGGAATCAATCCTTACGTACGTCGCGGGTTCGAATATTCAACTGTGGGACGTGGAGACCGTATGAACTGAGGTCCCGTGTCGCAGTAGGCGCAGGCACGAAAAAGATTCCTCCCTGCACAATTGCCTTGAGAGCCGAGTACAGGATAAAAATTGCAGCTCTCCATCGACAATTAATGGCCTTTCCATATGAGTGAAAAAATTTTGAGAGGGAGGTTGAACAATATACAATCAATCAATCAATCCTAAGAAAACCCATTGCCCTTAATCATTTCATGAACAACGCTAGGCATATCACCAGTAAAAATTTCTTGATCAGTGGCTGTTCCGTCAATGAAACGTACAGTGTACATATAAGACGCACATATCAGTTATACAATAAATAATCTTTTTAATCAAAATTTAAATGATTACTTACACAGAAATAAAAATCATCATGTC